GAGGGGATGGAAGACCAGCAGGAGGCTCAGGGAGCCTCCATCTTCTCCTCTTCCCTCTGCTAGGTACCTTCCAAGTCCACTCTGAGTGCCTGGGGGACATTCCTTTTCTACCACAACAACCTCCTACCACCCCAGCTTCACCCTGGGTCTGGTAGTCTGAGGTGTCCGCTCCAGCTTTCCCACCCGTCCTCTCCCCCAGGGTGACAAGGAGGCAGAGCTGGGTCTGCCCTTCTCTCCGCTGTGTGATCGCACTTCCACTCTCGTGGCACAGTCCCAGATTGGTGAGTATCCTATCTCGCAGGGAGGAGAGGATTGCAAAGCGGAAAGAATGCTGTGTGGGGCCTGGGCCAGGACTTCCCCACGTCCCCAACCTCAAAGCCATTCTTCCCATAGAGGCAAGCCTGCTGTGCTAGGGCATGGGGTCCTGGGTGGAAGGCCAGGGGCGTGCAATGGTGGGGAGGAGTGCTCTGAGGTTACAAATGCATCATCCCAAAGGCTGCCTTCATTGGGAACTTTTCAGCCATAGGTTACTCTGTTTTACATGCAGACAAGGGTCACAGCCATGCTGGCCACATGCACTACCCAGCCCTCCAGGTAAGACATCGTCATGGTGTTACCCTCTGCACTGCAGGTTTCATCGACTTCATTGTGGAGCCCACATTCTCTGTGCTGACCGATGTGGCTGAGAAGAGTGTCCAGCCCTTAGTGGATGAGGACTCCAAGTCTAAAAACCAGCCCAGGTGAGGATGACTGGGGTAGCCCGGCCTCCTGGTTCTGGGAGAAGGGAGTCAGACTCACAGAGGGCGGACCCCCAGGGAGGAGGCACACCCACGGGAGGGGTGGTGAAGGAGCAGGCTACTCCAAACAGGAGAGCCGCTGTGCTGTGTGTCACACACAGGGGCGGAAGGATGGGGCCATGTGACCAAACGCATGTGCTTGCACCTGTATTCCCTCCACCATATTTTCGTCTCTTCCATTAGCTCTGTTTATTGTCTTTCTGCCAATCTTGTTTTTATTTTCCTTCTAGTAAGAGAGAAGGTGTGGAGAGGGAGGGGTGAAATCTGGGAGGAGGGGGACAGGGACTTGGAAGGTACCTAGCAGAGGGAAGAGGAGAAGATGGAGGCTCCTTAAGCCTCCTGCTGGTCTTCCATCCCCTCCCCTCTGAGGGCTGTGAAGGTGGTTCTGGAATGGGCTGGGTCCCACCTCTGAAGTTGGTGGGGGGGTGCTGCTTCTAGTTTTCAGTGGCGCCAGCCTTCTCTAGATGTGGAAGTAGGAGACCCTAACCCTGATGTGATCAGCTTCCGCTCCACCTGGACCAAATACATTCAGGAGAACAAGCAGAAATGGAAGGAACAGGCAGCAAGTGGTGGGTACCATTGTGGGCATGAAGCCGTGGGAGGAGGTGGCTAACGGAGTAGTAGCAGGTCCATTTTCCTCAAGCCCTTGGAGTAGCCGTTGACTCCGAGTTGGGAATAGAGCTGATCAGACTACAGTTAGATTACAGGAAAGACTGACCAGATAATTGGCCTGAACTGTTCTAGAATGAGAACTGGAGAGAGAACAGGGACAACCATATTCCACAACCAAGGGGCCTTATGCACATTGCGGCCTGTGAGTGGTGCTCCTGTAGATTAGGGTCACTTGGTGGCCCCGGCTGGGAGACTTTTCCTGTATGTGGGAGTTGAGATTGTGATTAGCAATCTGAAGGCCCGAGAGGCTCTCCACAAGTGGCCGGGGGTTGAAGATAGGAGGATGCATGAGAATCTCTTACTTTTCTCCACATACTCCTTGGTTCTGGGGAAAACTACTTCTTGGTCTGGTCTCAGCTTCCTTCATGCCCCTCTGCAGGCATCACCAACCAGATGTCCATTGACGAGCTGTCCCCCTGTGAGGAGGAGGCCCCGCCCTCCCCTGCCCAAGATGAACACAACCAGAATGGGAATCTGGACTAGCCTGGGGCTGGCCCAGGTGAGCCTGTCATGGTGGAGTGGGAGGGTCTTGATGTTGGGCGGAGAGTAGGGAGAGCTGGGTGTCCAACATGGCATTTTGAAGAGTCATCTCTGGGGTTCAATGGATGTGAGGTTCTCCCTCCCTCCTTCCAGGCAGGAGAGTGATGGAAGTGAACACATAGAACTGAGTCAGGGCGTGAATGTGAAGCCAGGAAATCCTCCCAGCTCTTCTGTCCCAGTCCCTGCATTTGGAAAGCAGGTAGCTCTTCAGAGCAGGGTGGGGCCTGAGCAAGGCTAGAGCCATCCATGTAGCACCTTTGTGAGGGCTCGGGAAAAGGAACCAGCCGGGGCACAGGCTCTGTGAGGGCGGTTGGCACGACTTCGATTGCAGCTCCTGCTCACACCTTGGCTGAGTACCCTTCTGCAAGGCATTTTTTTGCACAATTATTTGTGGGACCGAGTGGGGATCTGGGCGGGACTTGGAGAAGGTAAGTCAGGCTGGAAATAAAGGCAAAGCTCCGAGCACTGAAACTTCCCCTCTTTCCCCAGGTCCTCATTGAGTCCCAGTGTTAGATGTCATCAGCACCATCCATCGGGACTAGCTCCCCCATCTGCTCCAAGGGAGCATGAAGGTTGAGGAAGAGACAACCCACCTGAAGGCCAAATGCCAGAGAATGTGGGGTTGGGGAAGGGCCCCTCCCCACCCGACACCCACTGGGCCATACTTTAATCTCCCGGCAGCAAGACTGGGGAACTTCAGGCTCCCAATGGTCACTGTGCCCATCCCCCTGCCTCTGGACTCCCCCGTGGCCAGATGGATGTCTGGGGAAGGGGAGCTTCCTGCAGGCTCCCCAGGGTTTGGGGGGAGGGTCAGAGATGCCAGCCCCCTGGACCCTCCCCCATCCTTTTTGCCTCCAAGTTTCTAAGCAATAAATTTTGGGGGTTCCCTCAGCCCCCCACCCCAGATCTTAGCTGGAAGGTCTGGGTCCCCTTTTCCTACCCTGGGAGGGGCTGGAACAGGAGAGAAAGCTGGGGGGTTTCAGAGCCCTATGCGTGGGGAGGGGAGTGGGCTTCTTCAGGGCATGGTATCATTTTAGGGCCTGGGAATGGGGGGTGGGCAGCCTCTTTACCCCAGACCTGCACTGCTTCAGCCCCATCCCCAGCTCGACCCCTTACTTCTTCCCTCCTCCCATTCGTCATGGCAACTGGAGAAGAGGACCAGGGGCTGAGAGCAGGTCTTTCCTGGGGTCCTTAAGAGCTTGGGACTGGTCTGGGCCTGGGACATGGAACCTGCCCTGGCTGATGCCTGAGCCCTTTGCCTCCTTCCTCTCCCCTGGGCTGGAGGCTCCCATCCGACCAATGTCTGTAACGTGCTTTGAGTCTCCTCAGCAAAGCACCTTCAGGATGCATCTTACGAGCACAGGCAGGAGAGACCAGCTGGGTCAGGGTCAAGGGTGCATGATGGGGGTGAGGTATAATCCAGTAATACTGTGTTACCACCAGAGGATCCCTCCCCTTCTCCATTCCAGCACTGGCCCAGCTGTGGGCACCAAGAGGCCCCTCCTCTGTGACAGTGGGGAGGGGTGGGAGGAAGGCAGATGGGGAGGGGCTCAGGGTACTGCTGTAATGCCCTCTGAAGAGAGCCCCCCAGGCCCCCTGTCCCTTCCTCTCCTCAGGTTCCTCTCACCCCACCTTGTCCCAGGAAAGGCCCAAGTCCAGGTGACTGCCCTTCTTTCTCGTAAATATCAATCATGCATCTGTACAGTGGGCCCTGTTCATGTGAAGTCCATATCCATGGTCTCTTAGACCTGCCACCCTGCCACCTGTCCCCCCTACCCCACCCCAAGTAGGGTAGAAACGCATGTGACTCATCCCTGCCCTCGGTCTCCCAGAACCCTGCTATATAGTCAGAGATCAATAAAGAAGGGAGACCAGGCTTGGCTGTGTTTGGTGTTCACTGGGTGGAAGTCCACCATGCATCTTCAGGTACACTGTCCCTTTAAGCTTGATAAAATCCGGTGCAGTCGGTGTTCTATCTGATATGTATATATAGTGGGCAAGCTGAGGCCCAGAAAGGTGAGATGTTGCCTGAGGGCACACAGTAGGGAGGGCAGAAGTGGGACCTTACACGTCTGAGGTTCTTTCTCTCTCCATTAAACTGCTCCTTAAGGAGGGACAAATCTTTCCTTCCTTCCTTCCTTCCTTCCTTCCTTCCTTCCTTCCTTCCTTCCTTCTTCCTTCCT